ACAGAGCAGAACCGCCCAATAGAGTTTCCAAGGCTGTAATCTTTATGGAAGCAGACTGCCACATCTATCTCCTGTGGAGCAGCTGCTGGGTTCAAACTGCCAACTTTTCAGTTAGCAGCTGAGCCCTTAACCCTTCATGTTAACACTGATCTAGCTTATTCCTTTTAATTCCAATATAGTAATCTGTTCTATGACTATACCACATTTTATTCAGCCAGACCATTCCCCTTCTGGTAGATCTTTAGGTTGTTTTTCCCTACTATAGTTCACCAACGTAGTGGTAAATGGTAGCAGCCATGGGGGTGGGCCTGTGGACTACAGATGGTGTTCCAAGGGTGCCATAACTTTATCTGGAAGGTTTAATGCTTTACAATAAGAAACGTTACTCATGTTATTTTTAAAGAAATCTTATGATACATAAATTACCAAAAAGAATGAAACAATCAGTAACAGGAAGCATATCATCTATTAACATAAGGAAAACAAAGTTCTAGGGCATAATAGTGTACTCACGGTTTAAGGCATAAGTGTTTATTGAAAAATAGTGATCTGAGCACTAAACACATCCCCTACTCAAGGCAATTACAATGAAAACTTCAGCACACTGGTTATCACAGCATAGCATAATTAATACATGCACAACTACGTCATTTTTCATATTTTTTGCTTTCTTCTTTTATGACTACGATGTCTTTCTCCATCCCTGAAATGAAAGAGATTTAAAAAAACACTATTACAACTATGGGTATTTTAATATCAGAGCTGTAAAGTAATAATTCAACAGTAACATAGTTTCATGAGATATAAACCAGAACAAGTTAAAATACACATTTAGAATTGAACAGTGATTTTGTTTTATTGTGGTAAATATATATGTAACAAATCATCTGCCTTTTCAACATTTTTCACCTGTACAACTGAATGACATTAATTATGTTTATCATGTTGTTCAACCATTACCATTATCTGTTTCCAAATTTTTCTGTTACCTAAGCTCAGTGCCCCCTAAGCAGTGAGTCCCCCTTTTCCCCTCCCTCCCACCCACAAACAGTGATTTCAATAGTAAATGAATTATTAAAACTAAAGACAAAACAGAAATAGAGATAAGCAAGACTTTTTTTTAATTGCGCTTTGGAGTTCTGCTTTAAAATTAACTTGAAATGTAGGTATATATGACTGATAACCAGGGAATTCATTTCAAATAGAATACTGAAATCATAGATGGGATTCAGAAACTGTCTGATTTCCTTATCCTGGCTCCTATCTCAACTCCCTATAATTTATTCCACCTCAGGGTGGATATCAAAGATTAGCCTTCTCCTACTGAGAAGTACATTTCCTTCTAAAATCCAGTTTATACCCTTTAAAGGAAAATTATTTCATGTTTAGATTCTGAGGACTTCTATGTAATCAAGTCAATAGCGATTCATTATCAAAACCAGTGGCTATCGAGCCAACTCTGACTCATGGCGACCCTACGTGTGTCAGAATAGAAGGGTGCTCCACAGGGTTTCAGCGGCTGATTTTTCAGAAGTAGATCACCAGGCCTTTCGTCTGAGATGCCTCTGGGTGGACACAAACCCTCAACCTTTCAGTTGGCAAAAAACTGCACCACCCAGGGACTCCTAGGGATTGATTAAGAGATGTCAAAAAACAACTTAAGTGGAAGAAGCACTAACAAACTCCAAAGAAGTGAAAAGAACACGATCCCTGATAAAGAATCACAGTTAAACTGTGTATAATCATAAAGTATCATTATATGAATGAAAAGGGCTTACTAAGGAAATACTCCATTTGTAGAGGAGAAGCACTAAATCATTGATAGCTTTAAACCTAAAAACTGAATGACAAGAAAATAAGCAAAATTCCCAAACCAATAAGCCTGATAATTTCTGACCATCAATGGCCCTGAGAGAGACAGAATATCATTTGAGGGCCAATTATTTGACAAGCACTGTGCATATAAAACTAAGACATGGATGCTGCTCACAGCCTAGTGGGGAGAACAGTAACTATTAAGTAGAAGAACAAGTACGTGCCAGGTAAGGTGGTGATAAAATAGAAAACGTGATCAATTCTGCCGAATATGGGAAGAAAAAAAGGCTTCACAGAAATGATTGAGCTGGGTCTTAACAGGATGAGTAGTTTACCAAGTGGTGTATTAAAAAAAAGAAGATAGGCAAGAGAACACTACCTGGAAAAGCCCAGATGTGGCACAGTGTGGATGAGGAACTGTAAGTAATTCAGGCTATCTGGGATATAAGTTACGTATTTCACAGGTTATTGGCCAAAAAAAAAAAAAGTTAGATAGATAGGCAGGACCTCTGGCCCTGTAGAGTCTTGAGAACTACTCTAAAGAATTTGAATTTTGCCACTGAAGAGTTTTAAGAGGTCAAATTCTCTCCGCAGTAGACTACGGGATGGATTAATATGGGACAAGCTTAGAGGTAGGCAGAACAATTGGGAAAACTATGATCATTTTCCAGATGGCCAGAACAGAGACAGAGAGAAGGAGGTACATGTGAGGTATCTTCAGGTACAACAGCAAAGAGGAACTGACCAGATGGTAAGGGACAAGAAAGTAGTATCTAAAATGACCCCTTGATTTCCAGCTTAGGTGACTAGATGGGTAGTCAACCCACTAATCAGGACAGGGGTGCTAGGAAAAGAGGAACAGACAGAGAAAACGATAGTAAGTTCATTATAGACCTGATGAATTTGAGATGCAGGAAGACATGTCCAGGAAGCAGCTGGAAATATAAGAATACACATTAATTGCCTAAAATTCATCATTTTAGTATTAGTTCATATCTCCTCAGATATCAAACTTTTTATCAGGGACATTAACAAGAACAAAACCAACTAATATTAAAGTTTCAATCATCTCTCAGACCTTGTACATCTTTTAACTGAGGAATCAACAAGAGAAAAAACAAGAGAGAGGGAAGGAAGGAAGAGAAGAAAGGGATCTAGGCAAATACCTGTGACGTAATAAACTCCCTACCTAGACCTGACTTTCACATATCCTGGTTAGGACATACAACAAAGTGAAACTAAAATCAAACATGCATACAGAGAACTATGTCATTAGAGCTATGGTTTTTTCACTGAAATGCAGGGAATGTTAAAATCTTCATCAATTATTCACTCTACTTACCTTAACTCACTCTTACAATCTATTTTCTCAACATGGTCTACGGAGAAAGGATCTGTCCTATTTGTCGTTAAGAATTCAACATCGGATGATGCAGTGACAGACTTACCTCTCTTTCCTTCTTCTTGAGTCCAAGTTTCTATCCTTATCTTTACTTTTCTTTCGTTTGTGCGGGCTTCTACTTCGATCCCTCCTATGTCGTGAACATTCAGCATCCAAATAGCTTCCACCAGACTGCCATGAATCTACTGAAGCTGATCGCCTTTCTTCCTTCCTGAACCATAGAAAACAGCCTCTAGTATGCACGCACATGCATGCACATATACACACACGCACACACACACACACACACACACACACGGGCCTAAAGTTCAATATTCAATATCATGCCAATGATAAGCCAGTTGCTGTCAAGTAGACTCTGACTCATGGCGACCCCATGTGTGTCAGAGTAGAACTGTGAGCCACATGGTTTTAAATGACTAATTTTTTTAGAAGTAGATTGCCAGGCTTTTCTTCTGAGGTGCCTCTGGGTGGGCTCGAACCTCCAATCTTACTGTTAGCAGCCGAGCGCATTAACCGTTTGCACCACCCAGGGACTCCATACTAATGATACAAAAAACCAAACCCACTGCCATCGAGTCAATTCCAACTTATAGCAACCCTACAGTACAGAGCAGAACTGCCCCCCAGGGTTTCCAAGGAGCAGCTGGTAGACTCGAACTGCCAACCTTTTGGTTACATGGTCTAATTAAATATGCATAATAAGAGGATAGTCAGAGTGACACAGCTCTTATGTTTTGCTATTTCATTAGCTATTTTACTAATATGGTTGATCCCCCAAAACTGTCAACGAGCAATGTCATAAAACAACTCCTGTATAATAATCCTGAGCAATTACAATAAACAAGCATTTTGATGAATTATACTGTATTATACTGAATTATACTAATGGTCTTAGAAAAGCCAAAACAAATAACTATAGGCAAGAGATTAAAAAAAGAATATTTTCATCAATAAAGACAAAGACATACTTTATAGCACCATCTTCTGCTTTTTCCTGCTCCTCTTGCCACTGACTACTAAGTTCTTCCATGTGTACATTTATCACATCCCGAATCACCTAGGAGAGTTAAGCAAAGAATTTCAGAAAAGAAAGCTATTTAAAAAATTAAGGGCATAAAGCTAGAAAAAACATTGCTAACCACCAGTGAAGTATTCACTAAGAGCTATGACACAACAGACTGTGGAGTATGTGCAGTTGGAAGAACAATGTTCAAACTGGAATATGAATGGTAGATGAAAGCATTGCATCAATGCTAAATTTACTGAAGCTGACAACAGTACTATGACTGTGTGAGAAAATTTCTCTATTCTTAGGAAATACATACTAAGTATTTAAGGGAAAAGGGTATGCAACTTACCCTTAAATAATTCGGAAAAAAAATCACGTACAAACAGAGAATGAGAGAGTGAGGAAGACAGTACAAATGATAAGCAAATGGCGTAAAATGTCAACAAGAGGTGATCCAGGGAAAGGGTACACAGGTGTTCTTTGTATTATTTATAGTTTTGCATCTTATCTGTAAATTTAAAATTATTTACAAATATAGTTTTTCTAACAAAACTAATTATTAAGCCAAAGAGATGATAAAATCTGACACCTTACAGGCAATTCAGATTCTTTGCCAATTAGACTACACATCCCTTAATGTAAGAACCATTAGAAATGTTTCTCTTTCCTAGTTACCCATGCCACCAAGCACGGGCTAATCACTAGGGAGACACACATGGAACTAAAATACACATGTATGTTTTCCTCATGCGTAATTAGTAAATCTTTTCAGGAAAAAAAAAAAGTATGAAAGACAAGAGAAAAAAATTTCAGAATGATATACGCTGTAGTTCAGGTCTGACTGCATTTCTTCTCTGCTCAAATAAACTTGCAATGGCTCCCTAAGTAAAATAAAATAACATCCAAACTCCTTAACGTAACTTTTTCAAAGTCCTCCATGATTCTACTACAACATGTAGTCGATTCCAGCTTTATCTCTCAGTATACAGTTCATCAGAGCCCTGGCACAGTGGTTAAGAGCTTGGCTGCTAACCAAAAGAACAGCAGTTCAAATCCACCAGTTGCTCCTTGGAAACCCTATGGGGCAGTTCCACTCTGTCCTGTGGGGTGGCTACGAGTCGGAATCAACTCAATGGCAATAGGTGTGGTTTTGGTTCATACAGTTCATCAGAGGCTCTAAGCTCTAGTCACCCTGGATTATTAACAGTTCTCTGAAAAAACTCCTGTACTTGTATTTATTTTTAGGAATGCTAATCCTTCTGCCTGAAAAACCCTTATGCACTACTTCCTCTCCCTCAGTCCATTCTCCTATTGAACACTTCAGACACTTCAAGGTCTCACCCAGGGGAGTGACATAGACGGCACACACCTGAACTCCAATTCCAGCTCTGGCACTTCTAGCCTGTGAACTCCTCGAAGACTGCGTATTACTGGATGTTGTTTCCAGAGAGCCTGCTAGCCAGGCTCTGCCATATAGGAAACAGTCAATAAACAGACATTCCTTTTCCCCTTCCTGCCTGTCCCTTTCCCTCAAATGCTCCCATCTCTAGGAAGCCTATAGCAAGCTCATCTTTAGAAAGAAGCTCTCCCTCCTCCCACAGCACCTGGATTTCACCTCTATTTTAGCACTTAACACAATCTCTATTTTGAAATGTCTGTTTCGCTTGTTAATCTATAAGCTCCTTGTCGGTGGGGTCTGTGTGTCATTGATCTCTGCATACCCCATTTAAAAAAAAACAAACAGTTGCCTTCAAGTCAATTCTGACTCATGGAGACCCCACGTGTGCAGAGCAGAACTGCACTCCACAGGGTTTTCATGGCTGTGACCTTTCGGAAGCAGATCGTCAGGCCTTTCTTTGGGTGGATTCAAACAGCCAACCTTTTGGTTAGTAGCCGCATGCTTGACCATTTACGCCACCCAAGGTCTCCTTTACATACCCCATAACAGTATGTTACGCATAGTAACTAAGTACTCACTAAATATTTGCTAAAATCTGTCAAAGTTCAGAGTAAATAAAAAAAATATGCAGGACAGGAATAAAGCTAGGAATGGATGAAATGTTGAAAAAGCCATGACCAGAGATAAGGTAAATCATTAAAAGATTTGCAAATACTGAAGTATTTATGAATGAAGATATCTGGGTTTTCGTTTCAAAATGATTAAGTGTAGGAAGTGCGGTGCGAGGTAAGCGGGAGCATAGATAAAACAAGACAGGCCAATATGCTGGTAACTGTTAACAAGACAGGTGATGGGTACCTAAGGGTTCACTATACTATTCCATCCACTTCTGAATATGTTTGAATATTTCCATAATAAAAAGTTAACAAATAAATACAAAGAACACGATCAGCAACATTTAAAATTGATTGCAAGGGTATGAGCTCAAGAAGAAACACCTGATGAACCACCAAGTATTTGAAGGATTCTAAGAATCACAAAGGTAGTAGGACATGGCCCCAGAGCTCTACTGGCAGAGAGAAGTCTGAAACACATACTTTAATTTCAAAAAAGGACAGCATAAAATGAAGCACTTAGCTGTGTCCAAGCCCAAGCCCGATGCCATCGAGTCGATTCCGACTCAGAGCGACCCAACAGGATAGAGGAGAACTGCCCCATAGAGTCTCCAAGGAGCGGCTGGTGGATTTGAACTGCCGACCTTTTGGTTAGCCACCAGGGCTCCCTGAGCTGTGCAGGACTGAGCAACTGTGCAATAAGCCAGTGGATGGCTCAGAGTCCACAAACATCCCATGGAAACAGCCTTAGGCTCATTAAGATTTACAATGGCAAAACCAAAAGGTATTTCAGGTGAGAAAACAACATGCATTGAGGCATGCAGGTAAGAACAAAGATGTGTAATCATGACATAATCTAAAAGATATGACTGACTAAAACAAAACAAAATGCTTGGTAAATGGAACCAGGTTATGGAAGGTCTCTGAAACCAGAGAAGTAAGAAATAAGGTGGGTACAATTAGGGATTCGATAAGGAAATTATTTGTAGAATTTGGGCAGGGTAATTCACGTACCAAAAAATTCATCAACTCTAACTCTATCCATTAAATGACATTTGGAAACAAGTCTAGATATACACTAAAAGAAGCAGAGTACATAAAGAACACTAAAATTCTGCAAAAAAGATAATAGCTAATATCATTGAGCAACTTCTGTGTTCATGTGCATTATTTCAATCTTTTCTCGTAACAATCCTGCAAGATTTGTAAATGAAAAAACTGAACCGTAAAAAGCTCAAATATCTTACTCAAGTCAAACAGCCCAAGACAAACAGCAGAACCAAATCTCAAGCCCAGATTTGTCTGAAGCTAAAACCTACGCTCTCCTCACTAGGCAATACAACCTTCTCAAAAGTAGTCATTTTATAATACGGTAAAACCTCTTTACATAAGGTTTGTGTAGCCTGAAAAGTCTTTTCCTGGGAAACAGTGGGTCTGAAAGTGATGGAGCAAATACAGGTTAAATGCAGCCACCATGACGACACTTTATTTCAGAAAACCTCCAATCAATTGTGGAAATCCACAGAAGAGACTTAGAAAACTAAGGGAAATTTTTGTTCTCAACAAAGCTTTCTACGAGATGATGTAAAACATACCTCAGTATATGATTTCTTGGTTATGTGAACATTCTTAGCTCTATAGGACTGGCGTCTTCTTTTATAATCTCTCACTTCTGCCAGGATTTCAAGGTAGGATTTTGGACATTTTCGACTATTATCTAATGAGAGAATAAAATTGTTATATCCTTAGGAGCTTTTCAATTCTTGTGAGTTATCAGGCAGCAGCACCACAATCATCCCATGTTTCAGTGTAGCACAAAACACATGCTAAAAACTCTACGATATAGAAATGGGTGATAGATAGCGTTGGATCATTCCTTTTCTCTGGCTACAAAACAAAACAAACAAAACAAACCAGTTGCTGCCAAGTCATTCCGACTCTCAGCAACCCCACAGGGCAGAGCAGAACTGCCCCACAGGATTTACAAGGCTGTAAACCTTTACTGAAGCAGACTGCCACATCTTCCTCCTGTGGATGGTGGGTTCGAACCACCAACGTCCCAGCTAGCCACAGGTTGAACACCATAGTGTTTAGGTATACAGATTAAAGTAACAACACAATTTTAAGTAACATTCTTACAGAAGGAAGACATGCTTAATGTAAAAGTCTGAGATCAAAATTTTATGTACTAAGTAAATGTCTTAATACATACATGAATATCAAATGCTGCAAAAGCATCCTATTTCGATTAGTTTTCAAAGTGGTATGACAAGAAATGTAAAGCTATGATATTCGTCTCAAACCTTGATTGACTTTAGCGGCCAAGTCTACAAAAAGATCACTGTCATTTTCAATGATCTGAGAACTGGAACGCTTTTTCTTTGTTTCCTCAACTACGAAATCATAGATGGCAAGACGATCAGCTTGGGTTAGATCACAAACAAACCGTTTGTGATTCAGAGGAACTTCAATAGGCAGCGAAGAATAAATCCCTAAAGTAAAAATAAAACCACAAAAATAAACAACACATGAAGGAGTGTGAACTTAAAATCTACTACTTATTTTTAAACACATGCTGTAATACTGCAATATTAACAAACGATTTCTTCATTGAAATCTCTAAATACACCAAGTATCAATCTATGAGATAAACGCAATGATTACTCTATCCTGAATGCTAGACAACCACAGAAAGGATGCACCATGGATGTCTGCTACTCTAACATGGGACAGGTCCCATAAGGGCAAGCCTAACAACCATAAGAAAGAATGTGCTCACAAAAAACCTTCTGCATGATAGTTTTTAAGAAGGCCATCCACATTACAAAAGTAGATATTAACTTTATGTTATAAAAGTAGGTATAAACTTTGTTTATAAGCTTTTTCTCACAAAAGCTGGAAAAACATCTGCTTTTAATAGTTAGAACACATAGTCTCTCCCAAAAACTACGGAAATAAGAAAAATGTATTTCAAAAAAATGTCGTTTTAGTATGAGACATCAAACTTGATTTTCAATATTCAAAACACTTCCCACTTGTGCACTAGCTTAAGCGCTGAGGGCCAGAAACAATTAATTAAGTAGCAGAAATCCCAAACTTCCAGAGAAACACAGATTAATTTGAGAATAAATTCTTTTTAATTTCCTGAGGAAGAAGCATATTGGTTTAACCGAATTAATTGAAAAAAAGTTAATAGGAATCCCCCACCCCCAACAGTCACTTATGGAACGTTCTAAAATCTGTTCATTAATGAAAAAAAGTATATACAATACCTGGATATGATGTATTAAACACTGAAGAAAATTTTTGTTTTGAGATTGAAATTTTCTCAAAGAAACAAAAAATTATTTTAACTGTAAATAAAGCAATTTAATACGACTCTTTCTAGACTTCATTATTCACTAATATACACAAAAAACATGAGCTACTAAAGGAATCCTTTTAATGTTTGCTGGGTTACCCTAAAGCAATAACAGGTTCACAGAACAATGCAAAATCGGTAACTCTTCCCAAATACTAATATTTGATAAAGTCTAACTTCATTAACATCTTAGTAAAGAGGCAAAAAAAAAAAAAGAGAATTCCTATAAGAGCATACTATGTACCTATGAACTAAGCACTACAACTCAAAAGGGAGATGGCTTTTGATCTGCCTACAATTTAACAGGAGCACTACACTAAGCCTGAGCTCCCAGCTGACAGTTACAGACAACAATGCATGGCCAGTGGTGTTTGTCAAAGGGTTTTGAGTTAGTCAGGAGAAGGGATCCCCTTTCAGGTCAGTCGATTTTACTCTAATTCTGGTCGGCACTAGGAAAAGTCCTTTTATGTAGACAGGTGTTAAAACACTTAATTTTATAATATCAAAGCGAGTTATCAGAGTTAGCTCTGATAAACCTAATTCCTTTGAATATAGGCTATGAAAATCTAGGAGAAAAAAACAAAGATTAGAAAACAACGATGCATTATATAAATCTTGGCCTATTCATTATTTTTAAACAAAGAAATATAATTTCTTCCTTAACATATTTTGGCATTGTCTTTGATTTATTTATCTTAAATTTCTTTATGGTGAAGGCTGATACTTAAATTCCTTGAAACTCAACCAAAATTCCAAGTCAAGCCTATAATATTGTGACAGCTATCAAAATAAAGTTTAGAAAGTTGAGTGATACTTTTAAAAGGATATCGTTTGCAAAAAGGATACTGCGTATCTTTAAATAAGGAGCACACTCAGGTTCCTAATTCCTCTTTATACTCACCCCAATTACTGAAAAAGAAGAAGTGGAAGAAAAATTAAACAACAAACTACATACAAATCATTCAGAACATAGATATGGGTAAACACACTTAAATAAGCTTATGTTTACATAAAATGTAAATTTTCAAAACTCAGGTACAACCGAATTGCTATAATCATAGTAATTCTGTAACCCTCTATGTTCTTCTTTAGTAATTTCATTTCTCGTTCTTCCCTGCTAGTCACTTTTGCCATCATAGGGTATTTAAACACATGACATACAATATTAGTAAGAGATATTGTTTCAAAGTTACAAATGTAGAATTTTAAAGCTGTAAGAATTCATACAACGTCAATTCCCTAGCATTAGAGACAAAGAAATTAAGGCCCATAGAAGTAAAATGACTTGCCCAAGATCTCATACGTGATAGAAGAAGATTGTATCTAGAACCATTACATCCTGTCTCTGCAGGGTTCCTTTACAGTATACCGATCTTCAAGTCATGTCCATGACTCAAATATACTTCATGAAACTAAAGTACAGCAATTTAAATCTTTCATGCTGAAGGAAAGCAATAAACCACTGAACAGAAAATGATTGTTTATGATTGAAATTAACATCTTGGTTATAAAATCAACCAAAGTAACTCTATCTGAAAATAAGTAAGGAGACCTAATGGGTTGTTCAAGCTTTCACCAAAGTTAATGGATTGAGAATTCTGTACACTGAGTTTAGACCTGATATGACTGATGAAAAGATACATATAACCTCATTAAAAAAACTTACATTTTAGTACATAACATAGTATTAATTGAACGGGGATATATAAAATTTTCCATGTTAGTCATTCCTCCTTCAAAGTAAATATATCAACAAGAAAGAATATATTAAAGAGATTAGTATCCCAGGGTAAGATGTTTAAAAAATGTCTAACACATAAGTGGGCCACAAATACAATCTGTTTAGAAATTGCAGAACCCTACACAGGATGAAAAAAAACATTTAAGAGGGTTACATAGTATATAAAAATAGTGTTAACAATTAAATCTTAATTTAAGATAGTATAAAATTTCAAAATCAAATAAAAGTTCCTCTGAACTACCTATTCAAAAAACTACTCATTCTACGTAATTCTTCGCTTTGCTAAGAACTAAGCTCAACGTCCAAATCTTCCTTATTAATCAAGTATACAGATAAAAACTTAGGACATTTTTCTGAATTACTCACATATATAAAATCCTCACCCAGTCATCATCTTAATATGGTTTTCTATACATTAGTTTACACTTAAACAATAATAGCTACCAATTATTGAGCTAGGGCTAGTTCAGACTCATTATTTCTATTCTTCTAAACAATGCTACACCAAAAAAAAACAAAAATTTCGATTCATAGCAACCCTAAAGGACAGAGTAGAACTGCACCATAGGGTTTCCAAGGAGTGGCTGGTGGATTCGAACTGCTGACCTTTTGGTTAGCAGCCAAGCTCTTAACCACTGCACCACCAGGGCTCCAAACAACTCTACAAGATAGTTTTATATTCCAGGTAAGGAAACTCAGAGAAGTCAGTTGTACACGGTCAAACAGCTGATTTATATTTTTAAAACAGGCTTAATCAAAGTAGAATGAACAATGAACAGCAGTGACAGTAGCAGGGAACACGTACAGATTTGAAGTTTACGATATTGTTCTACTTAATCTCTCAGACATAATAAATAATGAATACATTTGAACAATAGCTAGAATACTGATCCACAGACTTCACTAATGCAGAAAGTTTTTAATAGAAAGCACAATAACTCAGTTCAGAGTTTGTGCCAAAATTCGGAACTTGGTTCTAGATACAGCTGTCCTATTACCTGACAGAAGCACGTTAACTAAACTCTGTGTGCCTCCGTTTCTTCACCTAACATAGAAGAAAATAATTATCTAACCTATCACAAGTTTGTTGCAAAAGAGAAACGAAATACATAAAAGAGCTTTGAAAAAAAAGAATCTTTTAAAAAACAAAAGAACTGACGACATTTAGAGCAAATCCACCAGAACTTTATCATATTGCTATCAGACAGGGATTATTTCCTTATTGGCAAAATATAGGGGCTGGATGAGATGATCTCCAAGTTTCTTTTCAACTAAAATAAAAATTTCAGTAAATCTCTCTAACTAGTTAAAAGTCAAAGTCTTTTAACTATTAAACCCTCAAAAAAATAAATACAAACCTCTTTGCTTTTTCACTGGTCTATTAACTACACAGGAGCAATAACAGGGGTGAAGAAAGTTTCACTGATCAAGGCCAGCAGTCTCTACAAATAAGACAAATTGAATGTCTGCCTCAAGAAAAAACCTGAAATTTAGCTGACAGTGACAAAAATGGGGCCTTCAGAACAGGAAATACAAGAAATCTGCTTCTGGTTGTTGTAATCTAGACAGACAAAGGTAAGTGAGTGAGGGAAAAGGTAGTGTGTCCAGAGAAAGCAACTTTCAGAGGGTTCAAAGAAGACAACTCAGGAATCCTTCTAAGAAGGGCCAGTCATGCTGTGGCTACACATATACTTAAGTTCAGACATCTAAGCTCTGTTCACTCATTTACGTCTATGCTTTTGACGGATTATGTTTTCTTTCAATTTTCTAAAAGCACATGCTTAAAAATTCCAACCTAGTAATAAAAAAAAAATTCCAAGCTAGTCTCTGCTGAAGTCCCAGGTAGAAATTCTCAACCCAGTTCCAAAGCTGGGCCTGAAAAGGTCCACAAACTCTCTGAAACTATATGTAAGACTCTGTGCTTTTTTCTGAGAAGAGGATCCCTAGCATACATCAGATTCTCAAAGAAGTCCAACACCAGAAAGACTGGAAACCCACTCACTCAAGGGGTAACGCTCTGAGGGCAGTTGTGGATACGGATCTCTTCTAGCCCAAGCCTTTCCCTGTACACTGCATTTCAACATTCTCAAGAGAGGGAAAGTCTCAGGGCAAGACAGTCTCACCCGATGAGATTTATTTACTAAATAATTTTAAAAATTGTTTACTTGACAGTCTCACCTACCAAGTAACTCCAAAGCATGAGCACCTAGCTAGGAGAGTGTCCTAGTGAAACTCCGGTTTATTTAAGCTGAAAACATCGATCAGATGAAATTAAAGCCAAGCAGATTAGCCCAATGTTAAATGTAAAAGCTAACCTTTCCCATGTAATTGTTTACACAAGATTTTTCTTGAAGAAAATTAGTAATCAGTGCTTGTGGGGAAAAATAATTTGCTTCATCAGTTAGATCAAACTATGATGTCACTTACTTTGATTAGAACAATCACCATCTTTTCCATCTGTAGTTCTAGCCTGTTTGATTATCTGTAATTGTGAGTCCTTATCTGAAAAAAAATCCATAAACACCATATGAATCACCAGTGTTCACAATTAAATTATTAACATTTTTACTGGTTTCCAATCCACTCTTTGGACACACTGCCAAACTGTTCAGAACCTTAAGGGAAGAAAACACCCAAATCCCTGCCAACTGACTCTGAATGCAGAATCCTCTCAGATCTAGCTATAGCACAGTAAATAACCCAGGCTTCAAGCAGTTCAGAAAACACTGTATTAGGTAAGCAGCAGTAGCTGCTACAAATTTTAGCAAGCACTAATAGCTAACATTTCTTGAATCTCAACCAA